TCCCTTCCTTATGTCCCACTGTAGTTAACATTTTGCAAGTGAGGCAGACAATTTCCGAAGGTGAAAATGAATATTGGTCAACTCTAAAAACGGTGACGGATCAAAACTAGCAAGTAGCTTTGTTTTCTGCCTTAGGTGCGTTTCCCGTCTCACTTCAGCTCCGACCTGAAGGATCTCCTGAGGAACCTGCTACAGGTAAAACATTGCAGCTATTTAAATGAGCATTTTCCATTTGGGTTTGTTTGCCAACTGTCCTCACTGAATCGTAATGGAGGAAATGCTTTGGTCTGATTCTCAGGTGGATCTCACTAAACGCTATGGAAACCTCAAGAACGGGGTCAATGATATTAAGGGACACAAGTGGTTTTCGACAACAGACTGGATTGCCATTTACCAGAAAAAAGTATCTCTGGTTTTCTGTGTTTGTGCGGTTTGTCGTTTTATGTGCGGATGAAGGCAAATTGTTCTTTTTGTCCATCAACAGGTGGAAGCTCCATTCGTCCCCAAGTTTAAGGGGCCAGGCGACACCAGCAACTTTGACGACTACGAGGAGGAAGAGATCCGCATTTCCTTCAATGAGAAATGTGCCAAGGAGTTTGCTGAGTTCTAGAGTGAGTGTGTGAGTGAATGAGAGAGGGAGTCGATAAGGGAGCTGGGGGAGTCTGAGCTAGGCTGGTCGAGTGGGAGATGTAAGGGGGAGCGTTACCGTCTCCTGTCACAATCACAAGCACCAGCCGCAACAAGAGGGAAAGGGAATCGAGCGAGGAGAATGATAACCAGCAGTGTTGCCTTTTTTTCTCTTCTACTTTCTTTATGATTCTGTCTCATGTTTGGATTCATCTATAATGCAGGTGAGCTTCAGATTCATGGGTTGGGGAACCCCACTTGTTGAGGGGTCGCCTCTACAGTTTCCTCCCCGCCGGTATGATTTCATCCTTCCCGTGCGCAGCCCGAGAGAGGCAAGTCCATTTGTTAGAATCAACCAACTGTGTTGGTCATCCGCGAGGACCACTGGAGCCGGATCAGCTGAAATCTACGCTGAATTTTTAAATTCACATTGGTAATTGCTTGATTTGGTGAAAAACAGAGGAAACGCTCAAATCAGACACACACAGGTACACATTTGGCTTGAAAGGCTTTGGTTTTACAACTTTACAATTTACCAATGTCATATCTTTAACCATACAATGCATTGCAGACACAAGTCACCCCTGATGACTCTGTGTGTGTCAATATTTAGTCTCATTGCGACTCGGCAACTTTATCCATCTCCGCAGCACCCACTCTTAAATGTTTACATGTGTCTCGGCGATCTCATGTCGCACTAATACAAAGGCGTGGAGAAGGGATTGGGCAATTCAGTTTTGTGAAGGAACCCATGATGTTACAAAATGGTATCTCAGGTTTGAATAGGTCACTCGGTGGGGACATTGGATCAACGTAGGTGACGTGGAAATGGAAATTTCTGGTCCGAATTCAAAGGAACAAAAGGGAATTTTTCAATATTTGATTCGTGTCTTCCACATTTTTGCCCTTCCATTTGGTTTTGTGACCGGATAAAAGCCTGTGTTGTCTGTTGCTCGGATCTCACCTGCTCTGCATGTTCTTGCCCTGAAAGGGACCATCTGAGGCAGACTACCTCAAACTGCTTCTGGATTACCAGAGCACTTTGATCTGTCATTGATGCTGGTCTTATTGGTGTCCTTTTTTTTAATGTTTTTGAATATTCCAATGCTCAACTCTTTTTTTTCAAATGTGCTTTTTTTCCATGTGGTAATGATCTTTAAAAAAAAAAAAAATCATATCATTGAACAACCCAGGAAAAGGGAGAGCATCTGCAGCTCGTCATTGGAGAGGCTACCATGGTTCTTCGTGCGCTGTATACTCTTTAACTTACATGATACATGTGGTCAGTAACTCCTTTAGCAAGGATGGCATGTGTTTTGACCACAAACTTCAACAATGCTCAAACAAAACAAACATCAAAGTCTTTCAGTATTATTTTACAGCTACATTTGAATGCACCGCCAGTCATTAGTTCTCAATATTTGAAGAGAATTTCATACAAAAAGTCGCACACTTTAAGTAGTGCAAACACACTTCAGGTGCAGTTCCATCAAGTTTCATGTTGTTATAAATTTAACAATGAATGGGGAGGGAAATTAAGGGGCCGTTGGTAGTGTACTTCACATAGCTGACTTTCGTACAGCGAGTGTGGGCTCAATGCCCTCTTTGAAATTGCCCTGTGATTACTTCATTCAAAGTCTTTGCCCCTTTCATTGAATTTGCATGGTGACACAAATGCAGTGGCCGCAGGTTTAGTGCAGGATATTCTAATTCACCACATTTAAGAACTGCCTAAGCTCAAACTAAACTGCTCTAATTTCATACACCACTTTTTTAGTCATTTCACTGCCTTGCATGCAGTCTGCAATGTTTTCTGTGTTTCTGTTTTTATTTATCTATCAAACTCCAGAACATTTTTCAAAATGCAACTCAAATTCATTTGTCTATTTTTTTTTTAAGAGCAGACTCCATACCCATAAGAACAAAACACAAAACAAAGAGATTGTTGAGCTTAAGCCCTCTAAAGACTGACTTGGAGCCACCTTGAAAAGGAGTTCATACATCGAAAAGGGTTTTATCCAAATGAAATGTACCATGACTCATGCTTATCTAACAATACACTAAAACAAAAATTGCTCATTTACTGAGCAGTGCTTTTTCTTTTGGGAGGAGTAACAATTGGCTAATCAATATGATGTCAAATTCACAGTCATGAGATCAATCATGATCATTCCTGCTTTTTTTTTTTTTTTTTTTTTTAATATGTTGTTGTAACCCACTTGTTAAGACTTGACATTTGCTGTATCCCATCCACGTCCAATTCCATGTTGACTAACACCATGGACGAAACGAAGTTTGAAGTTACATGTGATTCAACAATACTGTGTGTCCATCGATGATTCTGCAGTGACACTTCCCCCTCAAAGCAGGCACAATGCTGGTATATGTTGTTGCATTTTTAGGGAAATGAGAGACTCTGGTGTGAACCCAGTTAACCCTCGCCACACATACAGCTTAACACACACACACGCAGACACACACTCAGACACCCATGCAGACAGACACTGAGCAAAGGGAAGTCACAGCAGCAGTGGCAAAAAAACGTGAGTGTCATATTTTGCAACATAAATATCATTCCAATAAAGTTTTACTTGTAAAATTATCCTGAAGTTTGCTGTCTTTCCCATTGTGGATTTGTTGCTTCTTCAAAATGTACATGTACAGTTGCTGCACTAGGGTAGATTTTTCAGGTATCTAAATTTATGAGAGAGTATGACCACGATCATCTAACACAGGGATGGGCAACTCACACACATTCACATTCTGAGTGGCCCCTTGATTAAGTAAAAAAGTAAAAACTTTTGAAAAAAAAAATTATGTTTTTATTTATTTTACACCCCCCCCCCCAAAAAAAAGAGATTCAAAACATGCTGGTAAATATTCAAGATGTATTTCACACAAAAACAAGGGTGAATGGGGAATGAAATCCCAGAAAATCTGAAAATTCCAAAATTTGACCAAATGAAAATGAAAGAAAATCCACGAGTGCTGTGCTGTGCAGTGTGTAGGGGTCGGCTTAAATTGTAATATCACCATTCATCACGAGATGCTAGACATGGCTTAGTTGTGCTAACACTGGGTCTTAAAACGGTCATATACTACAACATGAGTAGGTCCAAAAATTTTTTGCAGATTTAGAATAGAACACATCTTTATTTATATAGCACTTTCACAATATCTGTTGCTGTAACAAAGTGCTTTTACAGACTTTACTGTCACGGGGGACGCACAATATGCTGGACATAGATAGAAACTCTCACATAAAAATTTTGAGTGTATTGCGTTTTATGAAAAAAAAAAAATCCCAAAAGAGTTCCTGCAGATAATGTTGGGTTCTTGTTGAGCAGTTTTGTGCCGTCCTTGACTGGCACACATCTCTTTAGGAAGTGGGTGGCCCCTTTCATCATTTAAGTTGCCCATTTCTGATCTAATATATCAGCTAATCAATAGTACGAAATTATTATCAGTTGAAAAAAAGCTGTCTTTTGTGATAAACAGCATTATGCTGTACAATTTTAAATCAGCCTATGCACTATATGTGTGTGTGTGTGTGTGTGTGTGTGTGTGTGTGTGTGTGTGTGTGTGTGTGTGTGTGTGTGTGTGTGTGTGTGTGTGTGTGTGTGTGTGTGTGTGAAAAGAGATTGGCCTGACTGCAGTGATGCTAGCCGAAGAGCTGCATTATGCTTGCTATGCAAATGCACAGTGACACAGTTGAATTTGGCGCACAATACTTGTTTCTGTGCGCATGCACACTTGCACACCACTCATGCTTACATGATCAAACCTGAACTAAGACACATTAACAACAATGATGCAACAGATTTGGACAAGCAAAATATTCCCCATCTCTGGTCTTGTTTCAGAAAACTGTTTGATGTTGTCAGCATGTCAAATGATTCTCTGCGCAAGTGTTCATTGGCTCGTGCCAGCCTATAGAAATTCTCAGTGTTATATGGGAAACACATGACAGTTAAGGTGATTTGTTTGAGTTGTCATTAGCTAATGTCGTGGGTGTTGTTTTGTTAGTTACATCTCAATAATCTACCGGAAACACATTGGTTTAAAAGCTTGACCAATGTGGGCTGGCCTTTATATTTTTGAAATGTGAACGGGAATAAGATAAAAGATGGCAACTACATATAATGTATACCGTAATTCTAATTATTCACAAATAATTATTTTTATTGCATATTTTTATATATTTTCCATACTAATTGGTAAATTATCAAAACGAGCATGGGGTACAATGAACAGTAAAAATAATCAATAATAATAGTAATAAATGTTATTAATAATTATTATTCTTAACTAGTTGACCCAAGCACTTCTAATTTGATCTTTAGTCAGTCTTCACCCACGTACTGTACATCTGTAGCCTATTTGTGCCTATAAGTACAGATTGGGAGTACTTTTGCCCCCTCCAATGATGGTATTGTAGTATAAAGGTCAGTCGTCCTCTTCGTCTCTAACAGTGCAGCCGCCTGCGGAACCTAGTGGGGGCGGCGGGGCGGGGGGCGCCCCCACCCCGCACATCTCTTGAGCGTCTTTCCCCACCACCACGCGGCGCACACGCAGCCCACCGCGCGTAGCGTGCGTCAGTCTTTGTGTATCCACCGTGGACTCCACACGATGACACGGTGAACAAAGAACGCGGCTGTGATGCGCCAAAACCGAGACAATTCCACCTTAAATGCCGTCGCGAGCGCCATCTTCGGTCCACCTTAAGCGCACATTGTGGCCGACAATCGGCGAAGTGCCGAGCCGGCTTCCGTAGCGGTCCTCCAGCCGGGGAGTCGCACTCCGCTTCCAGCTTTAACACAGCAGCGCCACTTGAGGAACAACGAATTCACTCGTTGTCAGGCCGAACCCCAAGGAGAACATGTCCGGACCCAACAAGTACCGAGAGTGGATCCTGGAAACAATTGACTCTCTCCGCTCGCGAAAAGCGCGTCCGGATCTGGAGAGGATTTGTCGAATGGTTCGGAGACGACACGGGTCAGACCCGGACCGAACCAGGGCAGAACTGGAAAAATTGATCCAAGAGCAGACTGTGCTTAAAGTTAGCTACAAGGGCTCCATCTCATACAGGAACGCGGCCAAGGTGCAGAGGAAAAGCAGAAAGAAGAGTGAAGACCCTGTGAACAACAACGGCGACAGCGCGCTCAGCTTCACCGACCAGGAGGACGACTCGGAGCCCAGCCCGTCTCAGCATGCAGCGGCCAGCAAGAAGCGCGGCGTTCCCCCAAGCCCGAGGAGCGGAAACGAGGGCATCGGTGGCGACGGGGCGGTGGCGGCCCGCCTCATAGAGCAAGAGAAAACAAGTGCAGCCACGGGAGCACACGAAGTGCGTCCCGGTACCGGCCGCGACGATGCACTTGGGGGAGACATGCAGCCGAGTCCGTCCGGGGATGACGCCCGCAACCAAACTTGCGCAGGATGCGCCAGCATAGGCAAACACACAGTGGCCCCGCAGCCCAAACTTCCAATGGAGGGAGGGGACACCGAATCTAACTCGGACCTGGGCGACCGGCTTGTGGCTTCAGTCCGCAGCCTGTCGGAGAGGAGCCACCGAGGGACCGCCGCCGCCGATGGCACAGGCCCCGTGAAGCCGCTGGGGCTCAAGGAGATTTTGGGCTGTCTGAGCAGCCAGGAGGAGCGTCTCTTCGAGGAGAAGCTGACCAGGGGCAAAGTCAAAGTGGTCATGGAGAGAGAGGTGGTCAGCGGCAGGCTGCGCAGGACCCGCTGCGGGAACATTACTCTTCCTCTCAGGGGGACGACGACGACGGAGGCGTCCGCTGAGAGTCTTGCAAAGAGCGCGCTGCAGCCCGCGATAAAGGTGGGCGACACGAACTTAATATTTGCAACACGTCCGGGCCCGCGCGGCGCGGTGAAGCGCTGTCTGCTGTTAAATTAATAAAATCTGGTCGAGATCGTGCTCATTGCAACATAACGCGCTCCACTTCACCCAATCAAAAAAAAAAAAAAAAGAAGAAAACAAAAGATACTGCTGCATAATGTAAATGTTTGTTTCTCGTTAATTCTAGCGAGACATGTTTATTGGACAGGCGTGGATTTTGGCCGGTTTTGCTTGTGCTTCAAGCACAAAAGCTGCTGGTTACAGCTCAGGAGCGGCTCCCGAAGAAAAAACGCGCGCGCATGTTGTGAGCGCGTTTCTGCATGGCGCGTGCACGAGCGAGTTCTTCTTTGGAAGTGAGATCAGTCACGTGTCATTTTCCCTCTCAAGATTGGTCGTCGTGGTTGTGACCAGCCGATCCTGCTCCGTCTGTTAATTTGCATCAAGCAACTGGTCACTTTGCTCGCCATCCCCGTCTCTCCCAAGTTCCTGTCATCATCATACAGCCCTTTGTATCACCGTTGTTCTCCTCCTCCCTTTCTCCACTCCCACAGCGTGACGTGTTCACACGTTGGTTAGAGAAGTTTATTTATTTATTTATTTTTACAGTCATTCGATTTGGACGTTGATTTTAAGCATGAAAATAAAAACAAAACAACCAACTTTCAAAAAGACAAGGACATCTCATCCTTTCTCCATGTACGTAAAATTAATTCATGCTCCCATGACACTACCATCGACTATTTATAATAATAACGGTAAGTTTGTACATCAAGTTATCCACAGCTCTTATCCTCATTCATGTCACCAGTCGATTGTAGAGCACATAAAGACAACCTGAGGGCAATTTAGAGTACTCACTAAGCCTATCATGCATGTTTTGGGAATTTTAAGAGGAAGCAAGCGCACCCGAAGAAAACACGTGCAAGAGAATGTGCAAACTCCACCCAAGAATGCCTGATTTGGGATTTAAACTCTGAACAGAGAATCAATCAATTACAGTGACAACGGTGTACGTACCTTAAAAATATAAGGTTTAAAAAGATTGAATGAGATATGCTTGGTTTTAGCAGTACAATCTTTTATCTTCACATTCTGGTCCAAATTGGAGCAACAATTGGTGAAGTCCAAGCAAGTCTTCATTTTTTTTTTTTTTTTTAAACCCCTTGTCGATGCTGCACTTGCCGTCTCTTCAGGACATTGAGCTGATCGAAGAAGCCAGTGAAGATGATGGTGTGCAGGAGGACAGTGAGAATGAGGAGGATCCCAGGAGTTCTAATGAGGAAAGAGGACAATCATTGGTCACCATGACAACCGCAGCAACCCTGGTTGGGAAAACCAGTGAAGATAGCAAGAAGACGTCGGAAAAGGAGAGCCTTGGTCATCATCTACATCATGACAAAGGTGGCTTTTTTTAGACAGATTTCAAGAATAATTAAGTTCATCGTTTAATAAAGGAATTTTCTCATGATTTTAGTATGTTGGCTGTCCCTGCCCTCCTGCACAAACTAATGAGATCCCATGTAGAAGATTAATAACAATTGCTGCCGCGAAAAAATATGACTTGGTTTTGATTGACCGTCAGACAAGTACTCGTTTTAAAACATGTAGAGTACATTAGTACGCATACAGTGATGTAGAACTGTACAGCATCCCATGGAGAGGTTACAGGTGTTAGTATTCAAGTTATTAGTGTATAGCTCAAGTTAGAAAATGAACAGATCCATCTCTCGGTATGATTTCGTTTTACTCTAATGCAGATATTTTCAGCGAATACCTCTCTGACAATGGCAGTCAAGGATGAGCTTTTATATGCGTGTTGGGTCTCATTAGATCGTGCAGGTGTACCTAATATTGTGGCCGGTGAATAACAGTTCAAACTGTTTGGTGATCTCATCTCCGTGCGGCAAATGTTTATTTGCTCATCCTCCCCTATTGGCGCCGATGCCTTCTCAGTCGTGGATCCCCTCAGTAGGACCGAGTCTTCACGTCATTTGGGTGCTCCTCCATCTCTGTGCTTCACAGCATATGTGGAAGAAAGACCTGGCACAACTGATCAGCCACTTATGGATGTGCAGGTAAACCGCTAGAAATACAGTCCTTACTTCAGACAATCACCCTACTTGGTGACTGTGCGAATCTCTTTGTGAATTAATGTCAGTTTTTGTTGGTGCCCTGTGATTTTCTGGCCGTGGTGTATAGTCTGCCTTTTTCCCAAAGTCAAGTGAGATAGGCTGCAGCTCCCCAAAACGCCAAAACGGATGGATGGACAGGAGAGAGATTTACAGTCATATACGTGATGAATCGTTTGGATGTTTTTTTGGTTTTATTAGGCTGCCTCATAGTGCAGAGGTGCAGGGTTCGATTCCTGCTCCGCCCTTCCTGCGTGGAGGTGGCATGTACTTCCCGTGCCTGCGTGGATTTTTTCCGGGTACTCTGGTTTCCTCCCACATTCTCAAAATAAAACATGGATTGATGGATAAAATACATGCTCTTAATATATTTTATTTTTCAAAATAAATTTCTCAATGAATGTATAAAAGATCCAATTCCTAGCCTACCAACAGAGGGTGTGAAGCAAACAACAAAATAACTACAGTGTAAGGGGTGGGGGGGGGGCAAACTCCTTGGCATATGATTATTTGAATATGTAAACATTGGCAGATATTATATTGATATTTTTCTGTTTCCTAATTATTGTAAGAAATCATTAACATGATGATTGTCTTCAGTAATTATTAAGAATAACATTATAAAAGATCATTTGAGCAAATTTGCTATTTTTGAAGTGTGCATAAATTAGATACCTGTAGCCTTTGGCAATAATCAGTACCCAAGAAATAGCTGTCACTTTCAAAAAGGTTGGTTGTACTATACCTTGTTGGTAAACGTTACATTCGTGTGGTTTAGCATTTCAGCTGTTTCACTGTTTGTCCAAATGGTAACTTAACGAAATTGGTTTAAGTCAATAATTAAAATATTTTTTTTACATGCAGAGTCAGATCCACACCCAGCACACCCAGTCAGGCTTTAACGGTGAGTTCGTCTCTCCTCTGCGTGTGTGTGTGTGTGTGTGTGTGTGTGTGTGTGTGTGTGTGTGTGTGTGTGTGTGTGTGTGTGTGTGTG